CTTCAGATCCTAAATCCTATGGCTGAAGGTTAAGCCCATCAGGTTACAACTCTACAATACAGATGCATTAAGAGCTTTCCCAAAGTTGAACTGACTTCATCTGTGGTCACAGAGGTCATGTCTACATTGCATTCCTCCTTGGAGAGAGGAATGCAAAAGCAGACAAGCAAAATTGCAAATGAAGCGCAGATTTGAATTTCCCTCACTTCATTTGCATAATCATGGACCACCATTTTTCCAAAAAAACCCTATTTTGAGATAAAAAACACCGTGTAGACACGGTTATTTTGAAAAAAACCCATTCTTTCGAAATAACCATTAAACCTCTTTTTTAAGGGTTAAACGTTATTTCAAAAGAAGGGGTTTCTTTCAAAATAACCGCATCTACATGGCATTTTTTATCTCAAAATAGGGTATTTTGAAATAGCAGCTGGACATGATTATGCAAATGAAGTGTGGGAAATTCAAATACACGCTTCATTTGCAATTTCGCTTGTCTGCATTTGCATTCCTCTCTCCAAGGAGGAATGCCATGTAGACATACCCAGAGAAGACAGTTATTCCCTTGGTTAGGTTACATGCTGGTTACAAGCAAAGAGGTAAACCTCACATCGCCACCACTAAGCAGCAAAGACAGTATGCAGCCACTGTTGCAGTTTCAAAGTGAGGCTTCTATGGCTAGTATCCTCCCCTTCCATGTGGCTATGGTAATAATGGGTGATTACATGTTTCTTCCTTTGTAGACTCCCTGTATTCTGATCCTCTTCACCCTGCACACTAGTTCCATTTCATTTGGGCCATCTGCAGCCAAAGAGTTGTCCAAGGAGAAATGCCTTATTTAAGTAGGCCTAGATTGTAGCTGAGCCAGAGCCCAAAATAAGGATAAGCCCCAAGGATTTAGAAAGAGACAATCGGGTCCCTGGTTCCACTCTCTCCCCATTAGGGAAGTAATCCAAGCCGGTCCTTACACTTGACGCAGACTCTGTCACCATCTGTGCCATCTAGCACAAAAATGCAGAAGAACAGGTTCTGCCCACTCTCTGTCCCTGTCCATTCACATTGCTCCCATCAGTAGCAGGGAGTAACAGCACCACAGAAGGAGCTCTCCATCTCACTCTGTGACCTATGATGCAGATGTTTCACACAGAGAAGAAATGGAAACACCCTAACATCCACCTACTCCTTTATAATATATACAGAGAGAGTCATAATCTGCCCCATAATTTGGATCCATTTGTAGTCCATGATCTTCCAACAGACTCCCAACTTTAAAGAAAAGAACAAGTTTATTTTAACATAAACTGCTTTCCCAACACATCATTCCCAAAAACATTAGGATCTTTTCTACTAACACCTTAGAGAGCTTGAGCAATTTTTGAATCTGCCACAGCTATGGCAAACAGAAGCACTCAAGTTGAAGCCAAAACAGTACAAAAGAGAGGGAATGCTGGCAGGTCATTTACTGGGAATCTTGAACTTATTATACCCTCGGTCAGAAAGAGTCTGAATTTTGGAACATTCAGGGCATGCTTCAAAAGACACGTATATGTCAGGGTGTGAAGACAGAGCTGAGAGTTCCTGAAAAAAAAAAAAAGGATAAAAGAACTACTTTTGTATGTGGCTGTCTGACCATGCTCCTGTAGGACTGAGGAACTGTTTTAACATCAGTGGGGTTATGCTGCAATATTAATAGTTAATTAACTTTGTCTAGGCATCCTTTTATTATTTAAATATTGAAAGAAATAAATCCCATTTTAAAGACAATAATTCCAGACTTTTAGAATCCCTTCATTAATTCTAATGGAGCCAAAACTCAGATCTGTTAAAACACTGCAGAAAAGTAATCAGCGTGTAGGGTTTTTTTTGTAATTTTTAAATGTAGCTATACCAGCAGCAAGAAATATTTTTTTCCTAGTGTTCTTTCATTCCTTAGCTTTTAAAAGAATTAATGGTATATGAAAAGGCTGCATCTTAAAATCAGCATTTGGAGGTGAGGATTGACTAGATATTAATGGAGTATTACAAGAACCTTTGTTTTTTTGTATACAAAACTTCAGACCCAAATGAGATATTTTCACAGAATTTTTTTCTTAAAGATGATATTAAATGTAATTACTGACACAATCTTAGCTATCGTGTTTGAAATGTGACAATCTCAGTAAATATGAGAATTAATAAAACCATGGGATTAAATCCTTTGACAGACTCAGTGAAACAGCATTATTTAATATTCATTTTAATTTTTAAGTTCCACTCAGGAAGGTGTAAAGCTTGGGGAACTTTAGATTTCATTGAATATGATAACTAGAAACAAAAGAATCAATAAACTTACTGTATGTTAAAATGCCTCAAAAAGACCATACTTACGCAGCAGCCTCTTGCTTTGACAACCCTTTGATATTCATCGCCAAATAATGATCTATGGCATCTTTGTCTTTGATCATATGAATCCTAAATTTAAATGAAAAAAAATTAAAAGAAACACCGTGCTAACGTAGACGTCTGCAGCATGTATAATGCATTATCATTGCCACGCAGAGACAAATAAATACTGAAATATTGACAAAGTAATGTATCAGACACATTTTATAAATACATACAAGTATCACATTAACTTTTTGGTCTGTAGCTATTCAAATCTTCATTTTCCCAGGGAATCAGAGTTGGTTTCAGTATTTAAGAACCCTATTATTCAATGGTTCCACATACATTATAAAAAGTCTAAACCAGTGTTTAACACCGTCCATACTCAACTTTTCTCTTCTCAAATGGATCCATTACACTTTTGCCTTGATAGCATGGACTAAACAAAGCATCAGATCTGTTTTGTACTAGATTTTTTTAAAACAAAATTTACTAATACAGATTTTGTGTAGTATAATTTAAGCTCAGAGACAATTTTACCAACGTGAAAATCTCAAGAGCATATCATAATAGGAGACATTAAAGGCCAGGTCCAAAGCCAAACAAAGTCACAATAAAGACTCACATTGACTTTAATGTGCTCTGATCTCAAGCTAAGGTTGGAAATTGGACTAACAGACCATTCAATTTTAGACATTTCAGCTTTTTATCTTTTGCATCCATGCCAATACATAACAGAGGCTCTGGAGCTGTACTGACCATAAAAGGAATTAGGACTTTTTATGTATACTGAGAGCATCATGTCAAAGGATGTCATTTTTATAGCAGTAATGTGAATTAACTTTCATTCAATAAAAAACTATGAGAAAAGAACATTAAGATTGTATGATTAAGTACTGTAGCATGTATATTCTGCCTCTTTGTGGGTATGTATTACACGGCAGTCTTTACTTATCCCTCTCCCGCTGACAAAATATTTTTTCCATAATTGTATGGACATTTGGATAACATTTTGCAGTGTTGCCTATTCTATGAATGCCAGAAAAAGTCTATTAAAATAATACAATGAACTGTATTTACAAAATATACAACTGAAGTAGAAAAAAAGAAAAGAAAAAAAATGTGCTGGTACATAGCATATTATCAGGCTAATGTATTTCTATCTCATTCATCAATCACACCTAAGAAAGGCCATGCTGCTGGATGGAAAGAAAATGTACCTAGAACATGCTACTGATTAGAAAGAAATTGTATCATAATAATTAAATTAAATTAAAATCTAAATCAAAATTTGAAGACTAAATCTAAGAGTCTAAACCAATGAAGATATTATGGACCATTTGCATGACACAAATAGTGTGCATTACTGTAAAAGATGTATTATATGACACTACATATTTAGGTAGGGGGTGTGTGTGTGTGTGTGTGTGTGTGTGTGTGTGTGTGTGTGTGTGTGTGTGTGTGTGTGTGTGTGTGTATGTGTGAGAGAGAGAGAGAGAGAGAGAGAGAGAGAGAGAGAGAGAGAGAAAAAGAACGAACGAACGCATGTGTATTTGAGAAATAGTACAGAATTACATAAATAAAAAAGAAAGTTCTTTGGGTAGAAGTCCCCAAAATGCCCTAACTAATGTAGGAGGTCTGCAAAAGGAACCCTCATGCAATTCTTAGGACATTCTAAATATAAAGTAAAAAGTAAAAAAATCTAGAGGTAATGTTCCAGCATCACAATTATCTAACCAAAATTTAATTTGAATTGCCATTTAAATATAACTATATCTTACCTCTGCTTGTTGGAAATCTTTTTTTAAAAACACTACACTGTGTAGAACAGCAAAGACAAATCACAAAGCTTAAAGTGGCACTTGTCATGTAGCCCAGGTTAAAACTTATTCTAATCTGATGGGGGAATGTACCCCAGAGTTTAAAAACAAATTAAGCATAACCAATGTTTGAACAAACACACACACTTCTCACAAACCAGCTATTGTTTAGAAGACACCTATAATGTTTTGTGCTGTATTAAGGATGTCTATCTTGCTAGGCTCTATCATAAAGAATTCCAGCTACAAGAAAAAAAATTCTTTCAGACTCGTACCAATATCATCAGTGATGTTTGTGCATAAACAAGAAAGAAAAGATAAGAGTCAATTCAATTACTACCAACAGGAAAAGGACAAAGCTCCAATCAGGGTGTTTCAGAACTGAGAGCAACAAAAATATTAACGTGAAAAATATATCTGACTATATCTTATAAATCTGTTTCAAGGTGTTATGAATATTTAATTAGAATTTTCATTTTTCCAATTTTTCAAAAATCAGACTAACACCTGAAAAACCAACCTTGGAATATTTTGGTAGTTATAGTAACAGACTTATTTCAAAGGTTATCTATAGGAAAGATATAGTTATCCAAGTCAGAATTACTGAATATGTTAGTATGATTTTGAAGAACCCTTGCAGGAGAGACACATGAGTTGATATACGCCAGGAACATGTGCATAGTGAAAGGAGAAACTTTCAAGAGAAAATAGCAAGACAGGAAGCTTGATTAGGGAAGCCTGAGGGCAGTGAGAGATTCAGGGATGCCTAGACTACACAGAGTAAATGAGCCAGCCTCATTTCTCTCCCCCAAAACTCTAGCAAGACTTGACCTAGGATGGATTGCACTGAGAGGTTCTCTCAATGCCTTGACCAAACGTTTCAAACGTTAAGTGAACTACTGAAGTACTTAAACTTTTAACTATTTCACCCACCTGTTTGCCTGGATCAGATCTGGCTGAACCTGGATAGCAAAAGATTACTGGACGGTTTGAGATAGGTTAAGAAGTTGGTTGCCTGAGGTAAAAGGGAGCATGACTGGAACCAGAGAACAGAAAGTTCAATAGGGATGCAGGGAGGAAAGAGAATATTTGGGGGTGAAATTTCAGGAACAGAAAGCACTGGAGACAACCTATTTGCAATGGGGTCCCAATGCTAGTGGCCATACTAGGTGTATGTACTCCAGTGTCAGTCAAACTGTGGTGACATCTTTCAAAGCTTGCACAGAGACAACTCCGAAGTTGTTGCTATCTTAGACTGAAGAACGTCTGATACTGCTATGGCAAAAATACCCTAAAGAGCCACCATTCCTATCTTCTGACACAGACATAACAGGGAGTTGCCTGCCTCAGAAGGAATTTTAAGGGGGCCAAACCATCCCAGCAAAGGGGCCTATGCATTGATATGGGGCCCACATCAATTTTATTCTACTAACAAATGCCCCTATAACTTCAACAGAGAAGTCTCTTTATGGGGAGCTCCACTGTCACTATCCCAACAGAGCACTCGGGTGTGACAAGAGACTTCCTATCCCTGCCCACCACACCTATGCCATACAGAATTCTGTTTGTTTAGAGGATGTTGGCAAAGATTGCTCCATACAAGAGTTCTCTGCTATATCAGGAAGAAGTCATGTCACATTTGGTCTTCAGGCTACCTGGAGCCTCCCTGCTCCTCAGCCCATTACCAACCCTATTTCACTTTCTAAATGTTACAGTCAAATCCAGGAAAAAGAAAAACCTCAGCCTTCATGCATTTCTCAATGCAGAGAGATTCCTTTTTAGGACTAAAACAAATTGATTTGGGGCAAGTTAAGAGGGTTGCTTACCATTTACTGTAACCCACATTACTGATTTATTTGGAATGGGCAGCAGCAATTATTGGGATCTCAGTGCTCAACCAGTGAGACACTAAACTAAGGTCTTCCACCTCAAGCAGTGGGGAGCAACTAAAGGCACACCAGATAGCTGAGTCAAGAATGGGGTGTGAGTTGAAGCACTGGTGTATTTCAGCTTGCTGAGCGGGATTAGCCCTTGAACTGTATTAGGTATTTTTTTTCCATGACAATTTGTATATATTATAATTTAAGACATACAATGATGGTTCCCATGCAAAGTCAAAATGATAAAATCTTATTTTTTTAATCCAAAAGAATACATTTTCAAGGAGGAAAATAAAGACTTAACACTGAAACACCTAGTAAGATGAAAGAACCGTTTCAAAAATTTAGGAGAAGGCATGTATCATGAATAGAGCTCTTTCAAAATCTGTCATAATGCCAAAGAAAAATGGTGATACTAATCTCTTCTGCCATTATATACTTCACTGATTGTTTGAAAGCTTTTCTTAAGTCTTTATGCAGTATCTTCAAATTTCATTGAACTTACCAATTTTACTGGAACTGCAAGCAACCAAGTGATTTGGTGATGATGCAAATTCAAATATGGACTTTTTTAATACATTATATTTTAGATGAGAAGAAGATCATTTCGATTTTATTGTTCTGTCTTGAAAAGACAAGTGAGTTTGCACTTTCTATTGCCTTTTATTCATCATATGGATGTAACTTTGCTAAAAGATTATTTTCTTGTCTTAAACTTTTGCTTTTTAAAAAAATACCTACAACACAAACCATAATTTTTCTTCTTAAGCTATCCAATTGCAGCTATTTAAAGAAAAAAGGTTAGCTTTCTAAAAGTCAGTATGAGACACACATACCTTGCAAGTTTTATTGAAGGGCAAACCATCTGCTCTGTGAAGCTGGGATGTGCCTTTGGACGCTGTATCGGCACAGGAGGCAAAGTACTCATTTTGAACTAAAAAAATATACACACAATAATTAATACACATTTTTTCATTCCTGTGACTCATGACTAATGTTCCCTTACCCTTCTTCAGTCTTTCCCCATCTACTGTTTTTCCCTTTCTGTTACACAATATGAAAAATGAGGTCCCTATGTTGCAAAAAACTTGTGTATGTGATTAACGTGCACATATTTTTGCAGGATGGAGCCTTGGAATTACTGAATTGAGACAGAATGCCTAGGACTGAATCTGATTTTGTTTACATTGATTTTATAGCTATATAACTGAACTGTGGCACTTCTGATTTAGATAGTTATAACTGAAAACAGAATCAGGATTTTTAAGGCTCTATGATGGCTTCTCTGTTTTTGTTCTTATTTTTTAAATAGATAAAGTACAAAAACAGAAATGATAAAACACGTGATATGTAATAATGATGCAAGAGCAAGCATTGTATTATCCCACAAAATGAATAATAATAGAAACAACCACTTAACTTTATAAGTAATGTTATATGAACACAGGATTTTACTTATGGAGAACAAAACCAAAAAGCCCCCATTGCTATACAGTCTAGTTTGTCTTTTTGAAGTACATAAATGTTACATTTTTGTCACATAGAGCAACTGTGTTCTTTCCTCTCAAGTACGCAGCCTATACTTCCCACCATTAAAGCTTCAGCTGCCAGATCCTTCATTTTGCACATCCGTGATCTGAAGATGTTAGCAGCAGGAGCACCCTTACTTTTAAATTTGGTTTAAAGTAAGTATTGCAAGACCTGCTGGCAAGCCTCAAGACACAAACTTTTAATGGGGGTAGGAAATACGATTTTAAAGGGGAAAAGAAAGTTAGCTATTTGTTAGATTTATAGAATGGCAATCTATTCTGTGTTACATGTCAGAAGTATAATGAAGGTATAGGAGGACAAGGAAAGGTAATATAGTAGGGAACTTCATTAAAAAGTCCCTGAGGGGGGTGGGGGGGTTAGTAAGGACTAAATATTATTGATAGCCTTTACAGTTGTATTTCACAGCCCAAATAAAAACTAATTATTATACAACTATCCAGATTTACAGTATACAGTGAGACTTTTCATCTAAATATTTCAAATCATGTCATTAAAAAATATCAATACAAATAAGAGCATATGGTAATTCATCTCAGTCAAAGATTACACTTAACAAAAACTAGATTTGTATTTGTGTTTGTAATAAAAGATTTTTTTTTTATGAAAGGGAGTTCCATTTGGGAGTGGTTTATAGTGAGAGATGGCCAGTCACTAATTAGCCTTCCCATCATTGAAACAAAAATATCCATGAACAGAAATGGAGCAAGACTTTAGAATAAATCCTTCTAGAAGTCTTATCCCTTGCTCTATTTCTAATGATTATCTGCAGTTGTATTTTACAGCCCAAGTTAGTTTAGAGCAAGAGGCAAGATATGTTTTAGTTTAGTGTTTACTTTTTGTTTTTTGTTTGTCTTCTTAAGTGTATGCAATTTTGGTGATTTATTTTATTTCCAAAACATAAGGACAAACTTTATTTATAAATTTTATATATAATTTATAACTATACAAAACAGGAAGGTACTGGTTATACATTTCAGTTAAGCAATTTATGATATTACCTTAAACTCATTTTGATAACGAGTGACAAACTCTCTACGTTTTACTTATTCTGCATGAATCAAACCCGTTCACCCTGCCCTATATCCGCCACTAACTGCTATTGTTCTGATCTACAAACTTGGAAATCAACTGTAATTCATGTGATCTATTTTAACCTCTTAATAACTTTCTTCCTTTTTATATATTAATAAATCTTTAGATTTTTATTTACTAGAAGATTTGCTACCAGCATGGATCTTGGAGAAGAAATGAAATATTTTTGACCTGTGTATATGTCTGGCTTTTTTGAAACTAGAAGAACCTAATAATATGTGATTCTAAGTTTTAATAATAATTTACCATAGAAGTCTGGTTTGTATAGGCTGTACATGAGGAGCTAGAGAGCCTGCAAAGGACTAGTGACTTCATTATAACTAATACAGTATTGCGGGTATTTGTTACTGGATTAGTATATTCTGTCATAAAATGTTACCATCACTTCAGGGCTTACGCCAATTGCTATTAGATACTGTGGAGAGAGCTCTTTGTGTTCCGGAGGAGGGCAAATTATCCCACATTGCATAGTATGGTGTTCTTATTCCCACCTCTGAAGCTTCTGGTGCTGGCCACTACAAGAGACTAGGTAGATCTACAATCTGATCCATACAGCCCTGTGTGGATACAAAATTTGTATCTGCATCCAATCCATGATCCCCAAACTTGGTCAGTGGATATCTGCAGTTTTGCAGGGCTCTAGTTATAAAATTTGGATCCTCTTCGATCTGCAAACACAGCAGATATCATCCATAGATGCCTGCAGATTTGCAGGGCTCTACTGATCCATCATGGCAATTCCTATGTTCCTATGATTAAGCATTTTGCTGCCACAAAAGCATTCTAGAAATCAATAAAGTCAATGTTACAGGGCTTTGCACTGAAGAGTGGCAGAGGAATAGAGAATATAACTGAACACTTACTGTACAGAAGGCACTTGTTCATTCCTAAAATGGCTAAAAATAAGGAGAACAAATTTATAGATTCTACAACGTTCAAATAAAGTTATTAAATATATTTACTTAATGACTAATTTACAGAATGTTCCATAATGCCATTTTGTTTCATCTATCTCCTGTCAAAAGCATGTTCCAAAGCCACACACCATTATATCCAATCAGCATTTGCAGTAACGAGATAAAGACATTTAGTTGTCTTCAAATACTGTATTGACTTTAAGCTCTCAAAGCAAAAGCTATGACACTTTCATCTGCAATAAATGCTTTTAGCACTGTACAAAAGACCGATTATGCATCCTGATTCATGCAGGCAAACTCTTAAGTTCATGATGAGCCTCTCAAAAATTAATAGAACTCCACTAGGGCAGAGATCCTCCCACATGATCCATTTCCATGACTGTGTGTCACATATATACATATCCATATAACTATTCATCTATTATATGACAGCCTGTATAAAACTGATACTTATTTATAAATAATATTAAAGAGTAACGAAACATAGCTTGACAAAAGAGCATAAACATGTCATGCTTCCATTCATTCTCAGGAAACAACATCCCTGAGCATTATCAGCCATGATTATACTATGGACTTTTAGGGGGAAATTCCCACCTACATAACTTTCAGCTGCTCAAAATACTGGATGTCACCAGTGTTTCCTACACTGGGGTCCAAGAGTGACAGCATCAATAGCAATGTTTTCTGAAAATTCCATAGTGAAGAGAAGGCCTTCCTGAGAGCTTAACTAACCACCCTTCAGGAGACAGGAAGAGAAAGACCAGAAGCAATATGAAGAAAGCTATGTAGGTAAGAAAAGAGTGAAACTAGAAAGAGGAGGGAAAAGGCTGAAGTGGCTTCAAGAGATGGGACCAAAGAGCTGAAGATGAGCGGATAAAAACACAGATAAAGTAATTCACTGTCTGGTGCATTTAAATGTATAACATGTCACACAGTGGAGGTTTGAGGAGTCTTGCCATTTGCAATATTTTAGATGTATGTGAATTAACTATCTAGTGAACTTTAAGAAGGATAAAGGAAGTCTCATGTATTTGCCAATTACAAATTTGTCTGGGAACACACTATTCTTTATATAAGCTGACTGCAAACTTTTAAAAAATGTTTGCTTATTTAATTTTTGAATCAAACCTCCAGTTTCCAAGTAACTGTAGACCTATGTGAAGCTAGGGGAAGTATTTTGAACAGATAAAAGCAGACCCAGCAGTGCTCCAGCTTCTTTCTTCACGGCTTTTTCCATCCGTTTTTCCAACACAGAGAACCAGCTCCATCCCGCTGTATTTATAATAGCAACAGGGCAAACAGTAGTTTGAAAAGACCCTCCGGCTCCAGAGCGCCCTGACACCCCGGCACCACCTAGCGTGCAGCACAAATTACTCCGCAGCTTTTGTCCCTCTGCGGGGTGCGCGCTGGAGATGCCCCCCGGGGTTACTCCCAGAGGAGCGCTGTGCGAGAGCCGGGGCGGAGGCAATGTGCAGCCAACCTCCTCTGAGCAGCAAGAGCCCCCGCCCAAAGGGCTGGGTGCAGGGACGACTGGGGCCTGCAAGGGGAGGGGGTGCAGAGAGGGGCACCCACAGGGGCCGAGGGTCCCCCTTTAGCAATTAAAAGTTTGGGGGGAATGGGGGTCAGTGCCCCCCCCTGCTGCT